CAGAGTTCTTTTTCCTCTTCCTTTCTTTAACCCCTTTCTTTTTGCTTCTTCCTTGTTTCCCTCTCCCTTCTTTCCTGACCATAGATGAATAAATATTAATCTCTTTTTCTTTTGTTTTTCTCTCTTCTTATTCTACCTTAAAATTTGTTAAAGCAATGCTGCTTTATTTACTTATTGACTACTGATTGTCAAAGTGTATCCAACATGTTCTTTATTCATCTATGAAAACATAGGTTCCCACACTAAAAATTAAAAGTGAATGGGTAGCGAGTTAAACACAATATTGATGTTATAATTATGCATATTAAGCTTAATATTAAAACTAGAATTTGGAATTAACTCGGAATTGAATCAAAATGAACCAAACACAGCATAATAGCTAATACTGGTAACTATCAAGTTTGGTCAAAAGACACCATCACCTTGCAAAGCACTCATTGCAGTTGCTGCACATGCTGGACTAGCAAATCGACAAAACAAAGATGAGAGGTCCCCACCACGCTGCATTATTGATATATACAAGGATCAGGTCAACCTTTAGTAACACAGATTTAGCAACAAAGCCAACTTCAAAAAAGAATTTAATTTAATGGTCATCAAAGGACATGATCCACTTACATGTTTGGACTCTTTGCTTACAATCCTCACTTCTCTATATCCCACAAAAGGGCGAAAAATATCTTAAGCTAGTCAAGGAATGCAAACAACTTTATCAGAATCTCTGTGGAGTAAAAGAATGAGATGAAAATATGTAAATTTCAGCATTGCAGCAGCAAAAGGATACGAGCTACTTCTCTCTTTGTGCAGTCAGGAGGAAGTCCCTCAACATAAAGCGTGCTGGAAGCATCTGGAGGTAGAGATAATATTTCCTGGCTTGACCTACTTGCTCCATCTCCAGGAAGCGGACTGCTAAGACCAACACTTCGACCATTTGGTGCTAGATCCCTAGCAGTAGCTCCAGCACGACCAATCATAGCATCAGCCATTTGAAGACTGGATATTCCACCCCCAACAGCCCTTCCTAAAGCAACTCCACCAAAGGAACTGGCCTCCCCAGAAGTAAAAGGAGAAAGTTGCTTCAAGAGCAATTGTGATGAATGCTTCAGAAACAAATGAGTAAATGCATCAAGAAAAATGAAATGAGTATACTTAAGGTTCATGAGTGAATACCGCATTTTGCAGATATTGGTCATATGCTGAACCAATAGTTTTTGTGTCCTTCACTGACCGACGTGCACCACGATCATCATCTCGAGGCAAATAACCATGGATCTCATGACCGGAAGGAAGGAGATCTGCATAGTTGGAAACACAAAGATTAACATAATTCTCATGTTGAAAAATTCTTATGTGCCAAAAAAATATTATAGAATTCTTTTATTAAAGGCATAGCACTAAAGAAAAAGGAAACATTGTTTTCTAATCAAGATGTCAGCACCTTCATTGAAGCTGATGCTCTTAAAGGAACAGAAAATTTGAAACAGATACCAAGCAAAGGTCTTACTTGTCTTTTTGATAGATCAAACAATCCAACTGCTACTGCCAATGGCAATATTTTAAATATGCCAGAAGCCATTACACACATTTTGAGAGAAGGGTGGATTTTTTTCCCTTTTTCTTGTACTGTTTTGTCAATAGAATGGCTGATAACTACAGCAATCAAATCTTTGACTAAATAGAAAGCATAAAGATGGGGGGAGGGAGAGAGAGAAACAGAGAGA